AGAGAGAGAGAGAGAGAGAGAGAGAGAGAGAGAGAGAGAGAGAGAGACAGAGGGTGCAGATAGCGGGAGGGGAAAACCTCTTTTCTGAAAGGGATGATGTCAGTCTCTGCAGCTGAGCCCCGGTCCCCGACTCGATATGGTGAAGATTCTCTCCTCAGGAAACACACTGGCAGGTACAACCACATCCACAAAGAGGGAGAGACAAACAGAGGAGAGAAGCAGGGAGAGTCTGGTGAATGAAATCCTGCAGGTACGTATTCCATGTTATCATCCATCTCCGAGTTCATTCATTCGTGCTTTTTGTCTCTTGCTGCCTGCCATTATGCTTTAAATTACTCCCAGCATCTCATTTGTACAAAGTCATTTTCCTGTTTTTAGAATGTATCACAGCAAACCTTGAGTGTGTGTGTGTGTGTGTGTGTGTGTGTGTGTGTGTATGTATCTGTAGGTGTGTGTGTAAGTGTGCCTGTGTGTTAAGTGTACACCTCTACATCCCAGCTTGTCTGTGTGAATTTGTGTGGGTGTGTATATTTTAGCGGGGTTGTGGAAGAAGAGTGCTCACTGGAAATGAGGGGGCACATGCACACACAGGAGCATTAGTGGAAAGTTTATAATGAAGAAGAAACTGCTGTATCAAGTCCTCTGGGGGGGGGGGGGACAGCTTCAATTATTCAAATACAAATTAGATTTCGGGTCCCCGGAGCAGAGGGCATGACCGAGATTTGAGATTAGAGTAAAGGGCTTTGTGCGAAGATATCGACATGAGAAAAAAAGGGAAGCTTTTTTTTTTGTGTCTGTGGCGTCATTGTTATAGAGCCTTCCCTCTGTCTGCATAGGGGATTTGCCAGGGTAAAGCAATGCCTTCTGGGATGGTGGTGGTCAGACAGGTGACATAGCTGTGGTGAGTCATCCTGTAAAATGTGTACCTGATACACCTTTTCTCTCACTTAAGATTGCAGGTTTTCTTATTTATAAGGGATAATGTTATTGTCAAGCGTAGTAATTCATGTTGCCCGTCATTCAAGATTAGCCAGTCTATAGAATATGTTTTGTGTTATACAAGAAAAATTGATTTTCCATTGGTCAGATTAGTCATTAACTTTAGAGGCTGTCAGACAACAGCACATGTAGGGTCACATCCAAAAGGCAACAACAAGAGATGACATTGATAAGGATAAAATATCTCTTTGTATTAGAGAATCCTGCACAGCTGAGAGAGAGAGAGAGAGTGTGTGTGTGTGTGTACTTTCCTTTCTCTGAACTCACAGGCAATCAAAAAAAAAGCTGGTCACAGACACATTTCACTAGCAGCCAATCATTTACACACTCAGACTGTTGGCATGCCACTCAATTAGTCACAGCGTGGATTACACTCTACGAGGGGCTTGGGGAGAGAATCACACTGGAAATCCAGTTTTGTGCCACATCAAATGTCAGGGAAGATCCTTCAGATTCTCTGTGATAACCATAGAGACAGCAGGAGGAGAAGCTGAGGGAGCGCACTGTGGAGGTGGAGGTGGAGGGGGGGGGGGGGGATAAAGGTTGGAGGAGAAGTAATCAGAGGCAGTGAAAGGAGGAGTAGGGGGACGGAGAGAGTCTCAGAGGCATGAGAGGCATCCGTACTGGCCAGCAGGCCCTGCTTTATATATATAGATAGGGTCATTTGTGCTCCATGTTGGTCTATGAGCAATATTGGAAAGCGGTTTGGTCGATTTCAAAATGTCATGCCAGGAAGAGCATTGCAATCAAAAGATAAGACATTTTACCTGCTAATTTTCTCTGTAGACACTCCAACAGCATATCGAAGAGGAATGGATCTGTATGAAAGAGGTATAAATATAATGTATTTATGGTACCTTGTGTATAATTAAAAAAATACACTTGCAACAAATCCAGCCAGCAAACTGTATGTAACAAACTCTCCTTAGAATCAGCTCTGTGTCTTCCATGAGGACAGCCTCTCTGAAGACACCTGCTGTTAGGTGCAGTGCTCCAGCCAATGCAGACACACACCAGCAGGCTTTCATTTGTTTGCACAGACCTTGCAGAGCAACCCCATTTATTCCTGCAAACCTGGAACATCAAACAGGTACTTTTAGCTATTGTGTACAACCTGTTCCCTCTCTGGTGCCGTCTGGAATGACAAATGGTTGAATAGATAAAGGCTACGTTGGCAGTAAGGCACTGCGACTTCCAACTGAGAGGTCATTAATTAGGAAATCCAAAGGTTGCTTGTTCTTTACTTTAATGTTTCGTCTTCCATATTATCTTCTCCTCACTATAATTTATTTGTACCTGTTAATTTACTCAGTAAATCATTATGATGTTACTACTGCCCCACTTCCTTTGACTCCTATTTCAGGTGCCAGTCCTGTGAGAGTGTGGTTTATTTGTTTAGTGTTCTCACTGCAGCACTCTCATTTGAGGATGTTAAGAGGGTAGGCAGTGTTTTGATGGTTGTCAGGCAAAATTGGTTTGATGTCTTGATTTCAAAGATTTCTTTGTCCTCTTTGTTCACAACAGGGGGATGTGTTTGTATTAAATTATTCATACACATTTTCTCTGTCGAATAGAAATGATTTCAGATATTATCCCTTTGGAGATTCATCACGATCTCCCCCTGTGTGTGCAGAGAGGGATGCTCAGTCATTCCTTCCCCCTCATGCGACAAATCCCTCCCCATCCATCTATCTATTTATCTCTCTCTGTGATGGCTGAAACCTCACATTCCCAAAAGAGGCAACCTCAGTGGCCCCTCAGCCTGTGTGTAATTAGCGCTGACCAGTAGCCCATTTCTATCTGCCCCTGATCTCCCGACCTCCCTGAGAGGCAGCCAACAGCAGAGGAGCAGGGGGAGGGGGGCAAAAGGTGAGGGGAGAGAGGAGATAGATAGGGAGGGAAAACAAGGGAGGAGGGTGGGAGGAAAAGTGAGAAGGCAACAGGGAAGGGTGGAAGATAAAAAATGGAGAGTGGGGAGGAATGAGGTGAGGTGAACTAGTAGGGAAGGAGAAGAAAAAAATAGCCGAATGACTGAGAATGGAAGAGGCGGTGAGCCGCAGAGTAGGAAATTGATGGAGAATAGAGAACAAAAGCAGGAGAAGAGGAAGAGTAGGAGAAATAGGGTGGCGGCAGAGGAAAATAGACAGAGAGAAAAGAGATGCTATGTTAAGACCATACTGACTGATAATGTCACTCTACTTCAAAGTGCAAAGCGTTCCTGTCATGCTCCTGTATGACTGTGCCTCAGGAGAATTTCCTCATAGATCAGATGATAAAAGGGTAGCTGACAGGAGGGTGCGTGGGGCTCCTTCTCACTCTGTGTGACACATTCTGGGCTAAACTGGGACAAAACATACTGAGTTCTCTGCTTTAATTTTGTCTTGATCAACATACAGCTGCTGACCGGAAGACCTGGGGGAGATTCACAGGTGCAGCGAGACCAAAAGAGGACAAAGAGGATCAGGTAAAATCCAGGTACATTTAAGGATAAAAGATCAGCCATCATTTTTGTAATAAATTACCAACGCAACATGACACAAATCAGCTCAGTCGAGGAGGAAAATAGATCTTCTTAAGGAAACTGGCAACATTTAAAATAATTTAAAAGACATGTGTCACCATTATTTGGGCTTTTCTTATGATTGTTCTGTTTGAGATATTAACGGCAGGCATTTCATTTACATGTCTTGATGGCTCAAACGTCCCTTAAGTCATTAATCATTCAACTTTCAAGCATCACATTCGTCAATGAATCCAAGCAAGACTCCTTCAGTGTAACACATGTAATCTGAGTTTGGCAATTGAACCGTGCATCCTCTGTCTAATTGAATATTTAATTTCACTTTTTCAATAGTCACGTAAAAACTCTGATAACATTGTAGTCTTTTGTATGTTGTTGGACTCGTGACTCACAACAGACGGTGATCCATATTCCCACCGCTGACTCTTTTTATTTTTATTCATGCAGTGGGAATCTGCAAATGTGAGGGGATTCTCTTCATTCAATGGTTTAAATGAAAAGAAGGCATTCCACCAAAATCACAAAACATTTGATCATTTGGTGAAACACTTTATTTCCATGTTGACTCTCAACAACATGGAGGTCAGTCAGGTATTTTCAAGCAATCCACCAATGTTCAGTGAATTATTAGTATATTAGTATACACTGCTGATCAAATGTTTCAGCACTTGATTTGGCACCCCCGTCTATCTTGCTGTGTTGAACAACATTGGGATTGACAGTGTATGCCAACTACCAGTAATGTGATTATTGACTACATTTGCTTTCATTTTAATAATATACTCGTGGTAGATGCTCAGCCATGTAAGTAATATTTAGGGATGTAAAAGAAGTCAAGAATATGGTACAGTCAATCATGAAACCACATTTACATCTATGAAGCCCATATCTAAAATCTGAAAACGGTATCTGTTAAAAATGGTGAAACAAAGTGCTTTATCCCACAAATTATAGAGTTATTAGCTTGGCAACATGCTTTCATGATAGCTCCTCGTCTATTTCAAGGAAACTGAGGGGGAAATTACATCTTAGACATGCTGTTCATGGATTTTAATGCACTGTAACAAAGGTCAACATGTAACACATAAACCAGCACACCTTCATGAATTTTAATTATATCCTGCTGGAGAAATGTTGACTCGCTGAGTGAAGAGGAACAGAGAAGTAACAGGGATTCAGGTCTGTAATTCACTGAGAGTTAGGCTATTTTCTGTTGTCATCAATGAGTCCAAAAATATGGTCTCTGCGGGTGCTGCCAAACCAGTATTCCTACTAAATTAATTAGAAAAGTTATTTCAACAACAACACTGCGGTTCTGTTTTCTCCACACTTCCTCTGAATGTCTGCCATGGTCTCTCACAATAGTGTCAGAATCAACACATGGATTATTTATTTTCATGCTTGTATATAAATATATATATATATACATATATATATATATTTCTTTCTTTATTTTTTACAGAAACCCCCAATATCTTCATAGCACTTTACAAACCCTTATGAAATATTGTTAACTTGATTATGAACTTGTGATATTATGGACATACTGTAGCTATCCTAATGCATTATACCTTACAGCGACTTAAGATGCATTGTGCATGTTAGAAGGTATGCAAGTGCATATAATGCATTACAGACATATGATTTAAAGAAACACATTCCCATAAATAAGAATGTTCACAATCAAAACACAGACCGATGACTTTAAGCCTGTTTCAGTCAGTCCACAGCTACTACAAAGATAAAGTATTACCTTCTATTTCATTCACAAAAGCTGAATGCTTGAGTTTCAGTCGTTGACAAACAAAATAACCTCTTCTTTCTTCCCTCTCTGTCCACGTTTACTCTCTTCCCCAATCTATCATCCTCCCCTCTTGTCTTACATCTCTTTTTCTTAGGTTCCATCATGAATCAGTGAATGGTGTGAAAACATTGCTCCTCCCGATGTGTGTCTACATGAATGCCACTGTGTACTATGGCTTTTTATTCCTATGTGATGATGAAAAATATTCGTGTAGGAATAGAAGCCATTTTACACGTGGTGAGAGAGCAACGTGACCAAAGCACGACAGAAGAGAGAGCGCCTCGCCACCTGCTCAACAGTTCTCGTATACCGACTACCATACGGGTGGATAAATGTGACTGTTGAATGTTTCCCTGTAGTAAATATACATCTACGCTCCACTTTCAGATGACGAGTTAAGTGCTGATCTGAAGACAGAAAAGTCAAACTTTGTTGAGTGTGCACCTGTTTTTGCCTCCAGACACAAGCAGCTTGCAGTGTTTGATGCACGTGGTGACAGCTGCAGTCCGCAGGGAAGGCAGTTTGAACATTTGCAAAACACGTCATGAAGAAAAGAAGAAAAGAGCAAGTAGAGACCAATACAGATCTTTATTAACCAACTATAAAAGAGGCACTTAGAGAACCACTTAAGAACTTTACAACGGCATTTCCCTTTCTTCTCACTCTGTTTCTTTTGCACATTATTAAAATAAAACTTTGACATGAAGCATTGCACCAAAACAACAATCTACCTAAAATATTATACAATATAAGATACATACAGTATAAACAAGATAAAGCACCTTTGTTGAAGTAGTAAATACTATTCATAATTAAACAGTTGAAGTAACAGACACAGATGATTGAGTTTGTAATTTGTGTGTGGTATTATCAGTGCATGGGAAGAACTCCGAATACAGGTCTTGGGACTGTGATGTCCTTGTATGCACCTGAGTTTAAACATTGGAAGTTTTCCTAAATTTAGGAAATGTATCAGCCTACATATGAAGTATTTGGATGCTTTATACAGTATCTTTAATAAACTACAGAGAACCAGTAAAAACAGTTGATCGAATGTACTGTGACTGCTACAGATCTCATGATCCCGAGTACATTGGCATTCACATTACAATAAAACACAATGTAGCACCATGTTTATACAGAAGGCTAATATGATGAATGTCAATGCAGTACAGTAAAGTAAAAAAATAATACAAAATGAATATGTTGGAAGCATGTACGAAAAGGTGCACAGACAATAGTCCAAGTCAGTTATGATGTCATTTGGTCCTTTTCCAGAAAGACTTGATAAGACCGATAAGATCAAATGCAAAATGAACATGCATTTCTTAGAAGAAAATATTTTACTGTATTTTCAAGTATTCTTTTCTTTCTTTCCTTTAGGTAAATGAAATATAATCTCTGAAATAGACAATATCCAACGAAGGAAAAGCAGAAAAAAAGTTCAAATGATTTTCCCAACTAGCATATTCATTTTTGACCCAAAATTCATATCTTCCATTCGTCCTCACATTTGTGTAATAAAAACACATGTACAAAGAACACATAAAGTGACTACGTAAGTATTTAAAGATAGCATTTCACAGAAAAGAGCTGTGCAGTCTCATTCACCACAAGGAATTGTCTTAAACATTTATAACTGTGAAATTTACAGTCTCCTATTCACAGATTCCTCTCGCCCCACTCAGTTAATAGATTCTGATGTGTCCTTTCTTAAAGGAATCTTAAAGCTAGTGAGTTTTTGGCCAAACAGCTGGCTTAAGAGGTGGTTCTGGGACTCTGCTGTCCTGTAGGAATGGCTCTCCATTGACCTAACCCCCATCTTTGGCCTAGATTTATTCAAAGAATTGTTCATGGGAACTGAAGACACTTTAGAAATAGGGGGATGTAAAGGCCGCCCCAGAGGTCCCTTTTTGGCTTTGTAATCCCCGTTAAGAGGAGTCACAATCTCAGCCTTCTTTTGTGTGCAGCTATCAAGCAAGCTTCTCTTTGACGGCAAACCCATGTTTGAAGTCTTGCACTTGGAAACAATTTTGTTGCTAACGACGTCGTCCCTTACTGAGGACAGCACAGGGTAGTCGTTCGGTCCATCTGTCTTCCTTTGCAGAGAGGGATTCGCACACTTGCTGGAGCGGAATTTCTTTTTGGCCCGAGAGTCAACACCGTAGTTCTCCTGTGTGGCTGGAGAGGAAAACCTTTGCAGACTGTGTGGGGATTTCGAGTCTTTCCTCTTCTTCTGTGGTCTCACAGATTCTTTGTCCTCATTTGAGGCCGAAGCGTTTAGGGAAACCTTGGAGTGGAGGGCTGGTGTAAACTCTGTAGCCTTCATGCTGCTGGTTGTAGTGCCGTTTTTAGTGTTGTCTGTTTTGGCCGGGGAAACTTTGTCTTTCATCTGACTGCCACCTTCCTGTTCACCACCTTGAGATGAAGTCAGCTGTTTGCTGTCATTATTGGAAGCTTTCAATGAGTGACGCCACTGCTCATCATCCCTCTGTTGGTCCATCACATCAGCAGCTAATTCATGCTTTGACTCAAGTGTCTTTGAAATGATTTGATTTTCTCTTCGGCTGACAAAAGAGTCTTCACAAGATGCTAGTGAATCAGTTTTTTCAGTCTCAGCTGTGGCACCTTCAGCAGAGCCTTCCCCAGCCTTAAGAGTCTCCTCCCCCACACTACTACTGCCGTTAGACGCTGACCAAGAGGATTTCTCTGCTCTAATGCAGACTGACTCATTCTCCTCTTTCACGTCAAATGGTTCAGTAATTGATTTTCTATTACCCTCTTTATCGAGAAGAGGTGAGGTGACTGGGTCAATCTCCTCTTTCTTGGGTGTAGCAGACTCTGAAGAGCGCACATGAATAGAGTTCTCCAGCTCTACAAGTAGTTCCGAGTAGTCCTCAGCAATGTCCTCAGTCTTCACATTTGTATTGTTTGTGTCGCTGTGGTAATCATCTGCAATGGTCTGTGTGGAGTCCTCTGCTGTGGAAACGGAGGGTTTTGAAGTCTCAGAGTTTTGATTTAAGTGCTGTGAGCTCACACTGGCAATGCCGCTGTCTGAGCTATTTTCTTGCAGACTGTCAGAGGGCATTCTCCTCTTCTTGCTTGCGGGCGAATCACACTCATCTTCTTTGGAGGCAGATGCCTTCACAGGTCTGAAAACACCTCGGAATTTGAAAATCTTGTTCCCCCCTGACAGGTGCTTTTCCATGTGGCGATCAAACTGCTCCTTCTTAGAGAAGGTGTAGTTACAGGTGCTGCAGATGAAAGATTTTTTAATCACATGCATGACGTCGGCACAGAGCTCGCAGGTGTAGAGGGTGGTGTGTTTTGAATCCAGCTCGTCAACCTCCTCATGTGCACTCTTCAGATGGCCTTTCAGCTCCTGGGCCTCCTGATAAGAGACGGGGCATTTGTGACACAGGAAAATCTTTTCCAAATTGTGAACCACTAAATGTCTCTGGAGTTTGAATGGTTTGGGGAACTGTTTCCCACAGTGGTGGCAGTCTCTTGAGGGGTCTTTGCAGTTGGGATGCATCTCCACACTTTTAGGTGTCTCTGTTTTGTGGAGGACCTCTAGTGGGGTAAATGTACTCTGCTTCCCACCTGCTCCACTGCTGCTCTTAGTTTTGTGAACTTTTGGCTCAGCCCCCTGTGAGGTTTTCCCCTCTCCCACAGCGTTGTCTGCAACAACAGCTTTTTCCTGTTCTTTAGTGGCTTTGCTGGGTTCTCTGTTGGCTTTGCTGGGGCGGTGCTGCATGATCGAGGTGATAAAGTTCTTCACGGCTGTCTCCTGCATGAAGCAGCCTGGAATGCCTAACATGGAGCCTTGAGTCTGACCCCTCCGGGCAAACTGAGTGGCATGCTCTCGTAAATGTTCATTGTACATCCACACATCTGATATCTCCTTCAAGCACATTCCGCAGGTCCAGATACCTGTCTTGTTCTTGGCATGTTTCTCCCTCAGATGGTCTCTCAGTTGCTCCCTAGAGCTGAACTTACGCTGGACACACATGTAGCAGGTTGGAGGTGGAGATGGGTTGTGGGAGAGTTTGTGAAAGTTCAGCTCGCCCAGGGTGAGGAACCAAGTGAAGCACACTTTGCACTTGTACTGCTTATCTTTTACCTTTATTCCACAATCTTGACGTTTTCTGCCTCGCCGCTCCATCACTTTCTTGGACTTTTCATCATCTCTATTCTCCACGGCAACAGTTGCCGTGGGAGGAGCCACTGAAATATCTTTTTTGGAGTCAAAGAACTGAATCTCAGGAAGTTGAAATGTGGTCTTGATGTTTTGGATGTCAATGCTGTGGAAGGTTTGAACACTCTTTGTGACACATGGCTCTACGGGGAAGGGGGCAGAGGGCGGGGGCAGAGGGCAGGGTGCAGTGGGCTCTTCTGCTTTGCAGGTGCTGGGGTCAGAGGTCACCGTTGAGCTTGAATCAAAGCTACTGAAGTCACTGGAGCCACTCCATTCAATTGAAGATTTATCAACCGTGCTCTCGAGTGAATTGGAGGGGCTGTTGTCAACCTCTTTAACATTCTCATGAGCATCCTGCTGGTCACTTTGGGTAACACCAGTCTTTAATGTGCTGTTGTGGCACATATTCAACATGATGGCATCATCGGTTGATATTGTCTCATATTCACAGCGGTCAGTTTGGTTGTCAGTGAACGTCTGCTCCGCTTGGTTTTTAGTGTACTGACCTTTACTTTGCATGAACGTCTCTGAGGGAGGGTAGTCCTCAGTCACGTTTGATTCGGGCGATAGCTTCTGTCTTTTGTTTCTTTTGCTGTACACCCTTGGGCACTTTTTCCTTTTTGCTTCCTCATCTCTGGGGAACAGCTGTGAGAATGTGGTGTCGTCGTCAAGTAAGGCCTTCAGTTCGGGACTTATGCCGGAAGGACTGAGAGGGGAACAACTCAAATAGGAGAGAGGATGTGCCTCGTCTGAGGGTTCACTGTTTTCCTCACATTTTATCCCGACGGCTGCCACTTTGCTAAGAATCTCTTGGGCAAGGCTCTCTTCTGATCCTTTCTGTTCACACGTCTCTTCCACAGCGCACAGACTCTTTCTGGGCTCATCGTATTCCCTGATTACATCTTTGTCTACAGATATAGCACTTTCAACATTATTATCTGCACAAACTTCCCTATCTGCAATCTCTGTTATGCTTGTGCATTTAATTTCTTCCAGATCAGTGACTTGATTTAGCGCCACAGTTTCATTGAGAACATTTGTCTGCTTTGTTGGAGATGGCGGTGTATTGTCAGAGCCAGAGTTTGAAGTAATAGGTTGAGGGAATTTCTCTGAGCCAGTAACGGTTTTGTCATTGATTTTCACCTGGTCTGCTGGAGATTTGCGGAGATCATGTAGTCCACTGCTTTTGAATTCAGGAGTTATAGCTTGAAGTATGTCTGTTTTTAATATATGTAGAAGCTCATCTGAGAAAGAGTCTGACTTCATGCTTATCTCACTGTTTTTGTTCTTTCTAGCTTTGTTGTTCTTTTTTGCTTTTGTTGGCAGCAGAGGGTTTTGGTGGCTTATTTCACCCACTGCCACTACATTGGTCTCAGATGCCATTTCCTCCAGGACTGACTCAGTCTCTGCTGCTTTAAATATGAGAGTGCTACTTGTCTCAGGCAGCCCATCTATTTTACTTGGGTAACAGGTCTCTGAATCATCTTTATGTTCTTTCTCTGTAATTTGGGATGCTTCATAAATAACCATAGTCTCCTGATGGTTTGATGTTGTGCTCTGCGAGCCAATGTGTTTTTCATCTCTGACCAAATGTTTCATGGCCTTATGTCTTTTTAATCCAGGCACGGTCCTGAAACACATGAGGCAGATTTCACAAAGTTCTTTCCCCTGTTGAGCGTTGTTCTGTGTCTTTTTTTGAGATATTTCTTTGTGTATTTGGTGCATTGTGGAACACTGGCCAGTCTCTATTGTTGGTTGCTTCTCTGATGGGTCTGGTGGAAGAGGCATTTGTTCATTTTCACAGATGACAAGTGGTTTAGGAGTGGGCGGACCATCTGAAATGTCTTTACTGATAAGTGTACTGTCCTCAGCAGAAGCCCCGTAAGAATTTAAATCCTCTGATTCATCCTTCCTCAGCAGGTCAGCGTGAATACGCAAATGCTCAACAGGTCCAACAGGATCATGGCAAACCTCCAAGTCTATCTTTACATTACCACCTAAGGAATCTTTGCTTTTTGTTTCAGGTGGGATACCCAATGAAAAACATGTGAATTTTCTACTCTGCTGGAGGACCAGTTGTTCATCTGATAAATTCACTTTAGCTGCAGGGTCTGGGTTCAGTGATAGCACCGTGTCTGTTTCACTTTCATTAAAAATCAGTGCAGGGTTAACGCTCAGGTCACAAGGTTCACAGTCATCTCTGGGACTCTGCTTGAAGTCTGGATGCTCTTCAGGTTTACTGGCAGGTGAAATTGATATGTAGCTGTATTGATTCTGTTGTGGAGGTTCGTCTGAAATACTGTTGTAGTTGAGAGGGCTGAGCTTCAAATCATACATTGCATCTCTCTTTTCAAGACCATCTGACACTTCTGGTGGTTCTGCTGAGCTGGTCACTGGAAGTGGAGAAGGAATGGTGGTTTCAGAGCTGGTGATTGTACACTCCATGATCCTTAAGTCCAGGAGTGGTGGGCTGATCAAAGAATACTCCATCTCGGCTGTTGTGTTCAGTTGTTCTTCACTGTTCAAAACCTCTTTCACGTTGCTGTTTTCTTCCTTGTTTATGGGGGATTGCACATTTTGAATTGAGCCATGGTTAACAGACACATCATCACATTTGCTTTGGGATGTACATGAATCCTCTTCTATGTTCCATTCCTGCATGGGTGTTTGATGAGAGGTTGGTAGAAGAGGACTGGTTGGTGGGGCAGTGTGTAGAAAGAGACAGTGACTTTCTTCAACCTCTTCTCTGCATGGTGAGTTTTGGTGACTTGCCATAAAATCAATAGGAAGGTCTTCTTTGATGTCCTGTACAATTAAAATCTCTTCTTGTTTCTGAAAGCCAAGACCCGAGTCACTAAACGAGTCATTAAATGGAGTAACTTTGCAGGAATCACAGCCAATGATAGCATCAGACTGAGAAATAACCAACAGATTACTTTGTCCCTCTATGGACTGGGTGTCTCGGAAGGGTGAGCAACGACTGGTGCTCTCTGTATTGGTTTCCATCAGTATCAGACTGCAGGGCTTGTCAGTGGTGACTATCTCCACCGACAGATCAGTTGTTGAACATGCACTGTAAGCAGGGCTGCAGCTGTTGGAGGGGGATAGTTTCATCAAGTTATCCTGTTTTGCTGTTTCAACACTTATTTTCTCGTCTGAGCACTTCAATTTTATTTCCTCACCATGTGAAAAACTAATGTCTCCAGTATTAACATGGTTATCAGTGGACCGTTTTTCGACTGCTGTTTTAATTGCACCCAGACTTTCCTCGCCAATGTCTAGACTGGCGTCAGGTGGAGTTGGTGATAAAGGATGGCTGACAGACTGACCAGTGATTCCCTTCACTGCGTCTGCTTCCTCATAGCCATCTGTGGTTGAATGTTCTGGATCGTCACTACTGGTTTTAAATAACTGATTCACATCTACTGCTGCTTTGCTGTTCCCGCCGGACTCCTGAACCACATGTGGGTCATGTGTCAGCACACTTGAGCAGTGAGCAGACTCGTTCAAATTACTATTCTTGGCGATATCCTCCTCTGATGTGACTTTAGTCTCAGCCTTGCTGTCATTGTTTTCTGTGGGCTCACTTGGCTGTGATGAAATTGGCTGGTTTCCATCGACTGTGGGGTTAGTGCTGTCAGAGAGAGATGACTGTGACTCATTCAGAATGAATTCAATATCGTCTTTCTGCTCATTGATGTGTCGAGGTGATAATATATTCTCCTTCCCCGCAATTGCTTCCTTTTCACTGTGATCTTCTCTCTCAACTGCATCAGTTGCCTGACATTCAATTTTGTGATGTTGTTGACTTGTGAGAGTGGTGACATTCGGCTCCTTGTCTTCTGATATAACAGGTTCTTTTTTAAATATTGAGTCTGAAATCACCTCCAGGCTTTTTATGAGGTTTTCTGTATATCTTTTCTGTTCTAAAATCTCTTCCTTTGTTTCTACTGGAGTGTCTTTTTCAGCATTTCTCTCCACTGATTCCTGGTCATGGTGGAGCTGTGGGTTTTCAATATGTGAAGCCGTGGTGCTAAAATTTGGGGCATCATCTTCTTTTTCATTGAAATGTTCAAGCGCCCCTGGTTCATTGTGAATTGGAGTGTGGGGAGTGTGGTGTCCACCCATTAGCTCAAACTGGAATGGACTGGACCATGGTTCAGTGAAAGGCTCTGAGGCCAAGCTGTTCACTGATACTTCCATGGTTTGCACAGGGCACCCCATATCCAGTCCAGTGCCTCCACTCTCTGACTCATCAGCCAAACGTAAAGGTGAAAATTTGCTCATTTTCAGCTGCTTAGGGACATCCTGAGCTTGTAATGGTGGGCTGTCCAACTTAGTTGACTGCAGCTGGTTTTCAAGCTCATTCACTATTCTTTTTATCTCTAGCTCATCCTCTGATGCACAGCTGTTGAGATTTGTACCGTAGTCGATTAGTTTTTCTGGCAGAGACAAAAGAACGTGATTGTAATCTAGTTTCTTTTCATTTGATTTCTCAGAGCTGCCTTTGTACTGAGATATCTCATCTGGTAGTACAGGGCTAACCAAAAGGTTCCAGTCTCTTTGTTCCAGAAAAGAAGAGAAGGAGGACACAAACTCTTCCTTTTTATCAGCTATGTTCTCTATTGAATGAAAACTCTCTTTCTGAATCGGCATATCTGAGTAGAGGCCACTGTCGAATCCTGTGAGATCCCCAAACATTGTTGAGGTGTCAAATGAAAGTGGGGATTTCAAGAGCCCCTGTTCCTGATCCAGTGGGTAGTCCATGAGGTGGAGCGTATCTTTTTGTACCAATGGGCCTTGGCTCTCAGTTGGAGATAGGCACACCTCATCCATCAAAGAGGTGCAACGGGAGGATGGCTTGTGTGCATTTAGGTCATTGACTAAAGTCATAGCCTCACCCACCATGCAGACATTGTCACTCTGTTTTTCAAAGGTGGTACTGTCTGATAGCTCTGACTGTGTAGCTTGGGGCCCCTCGCTTCTTTTGCACATTCTGATTCTGTCAATATTGAAATGAGCTTCTTTGTTGATGGTGGGAGAGTGTGAATCAAACTGTAGTGGCTTGCTGTCTGCTCTGCTACACTGTGTTGGCTCTTCTTTGGGGCACAGCTTGTCTGTTCTCTGTAGGGTGTTTCTGTCTGAACTGACTGTGGTGCCAGTTTCTTTTCTGGGAGACACCAGCTTCTCTCTTGATTTTTGATTGTGAGCGGTTCTGCTTTTTTCAAAGTTTTTGACTGTGTCTTTTGCTTTTTGGGACAATGACACTGGATCAGCAACTTCTGGATTTGAATTATTCTTGTTTGGGTCCTCTGTACTGACTTTGTTATCAGACAGAATAGCTTTGTCACTATTATACTTCTTGACAGATTTAGTGAATGTCAGTGCTAGTGTGCTAGATTCTTTACATAACTTCTGCGGGGAGGACCTTTCATATGTTTTCTGCTCTGGAGACTCTTTCTTTTTGATGTCTGTCTTCTTCTCACAGTCGGATTCAGTGCGATCAGTGCTTTTAGGGCTGTTGATACTATCGCTTGAAACACTCACAGATGTGCTGAGTTCACTGCTTGTGGAAGACCTGCTACCCCTCCTCCTGAGTCTCTGATGAGAACCATGTTTCTCAGGTGAGAGAGAAACCTCCTCGCTTTTTTTCACCTCAAAACACTCCTTCGACTCATGTCGCCATGCTGCCTGGTCCCTCTCACTCCTTGCTCGCCATTTGCACTCTTTGGTGTATGTGTATTTACACCGGCTGCTTTGATTCAGCCGGCCTTGGCTTGCTATTTTAACGGGCTCACATTCATCATCGGAATCTGAGACATAGTCGTATTCTCCAAATGCAGGGTTCTGTACAGTGGGAGTTAGTCTTTCCATCACTAAGGAAAACTGGAGGTTTTTTGTACCTTTAACATGGAGCTTATGGAGCTTATTTTTCTGTTGAACTATTTTGTGAATAAGTTCTTTACTCCAGGTGCCCCCTCCAGTGCTTTTCCTCTTGCTCTCTTTCACTGCAGTCCTTGAGCTTGGAGAGGTGGAGGCCTGTGAGGGTGTTGACCATCGAAGTGCAGAGCTGTCCTGAAACGTTTTAATACCACAACGCTCAGAAAACTTGCTGGATAAGAGAAACCTTTGTGTACTTTGGTTTTCATCCTCACTCTTGCACAGTTTTCTTGCCTCTTTCACTTTGTTGTCTTGTTCTCTTGTTGTCTTCTCCCTTGAGGCAATTCTTGAATTTTTATGAGAGACTTCTTTTTTTATGATAATTTTCTCATCTTGTTTTAAATTCAGAGATCCTTTCTCAAGTTTGCTCTCAGTGTACTGTTTATCTGTCTCAGAGTTCTCAACATCAGAGTCATAGAAATAATTTCCCTGTTTGAAAGACCTGTCATCCTCTGTTGCTCGTTTGTTTTTGCTCTCAAAGACCAGAGATTCTTTGGTTTTCAGGCATTGTTTGCTTGATGTTGTTTTGACAGTGGTGAGGTCATCATCGGCAAACGCATCGATAAAGCTACTGTCTATCTCTGCATTATCTGACTGATATCCCAGTCCATTCAGGGCTTCTATGATTAAGCTGTCTAATTTGGCATCTTCCATGTCCAGCTCAGGGAGAGGGACAGGAAGGTTACCCGTACCAGAGAACAAGTTAAGTTTCATTGAATCATCCTTGTTGTCTCCTTTAGTTTCACTGTCAGATATCAGTTCTCCATTTTTATTGAGGCCCAACAGAGAAAGGTGAAGGTCAGATGGGCACCTTGACATCAAACCATTTGACACGGATGACACTGCTTTTGCTGGTTCTGCATGGAATTTTCTGCTGTCCTCCATCTTTGATATGTCTTTGAGGTCATTTTGAGCAAACGTATGCTGAGCACAGTATTGCTTATGGCCTAGAAAGGATGCCAGGTTGTTGAAGTTCTGATCACACTGCTTGCATGTCAGAAGCACATCTAACTGGTCAAGATTTGCTGCAGCTAACGAGGTCGCTAACAGCTGATGTGCAGAGTATGGCGGTGGTGGCTGATGATGCTCCAGCCCAAAACTGTCTATGTAACTTTTGCTTCCATCCATAGTAGTCTTTGGATGTGTGCTGTTTTGCAGGTAGCTCATCATGTCGTCTTTGGCTCTGTCTTGCGCGTAAGGAAGGTTTCTTGGAGCATCTGAATGAAACTGGTGAGGGTGAGCGCTCAGGTGATCTGACAGTAACTGTGTTTTGGCTTGGGCCTGGTGATAAAATGTGTGAGAGGGTGCTGACTTTGACAATTGACTGTCCTCTGAACTGATGTCAACAGGGCTGGTGGATGCTGGGGAGAGGGAAGAGCAGGTACTACTGGATGCAGGGTTATGGACTGGCGAGGGCAAAGGAGATTCATAAGGGGACACCATCATAAGTCCCATGGGGGGGACCTGTAATGGGGGATAGCTGTAGTTTCTTGATGCTGCTGGAAGAGACTGGTTGAGTCCAAAATATACCGCCTTATTTTTGGATTCACATACTTGTGCGTGGCTCATCTCTACTTTAAATGTTGAGACTGTATTACTGCTATGTTTTACAGTCTCCTGTCTTTGGCTTGAAAACCCGTCACTGGTTCTGCTGTTCTGAAATGAGCTGGGGTTTTCCAGGGAGCTGTGTTTATGTGATTTGCTATCATCCTGCCAGTCAGAAGGGGAAACCATGTAAGGCATTTTTTGATTGCTTATTTGCCGAGATAAGTCAATTCCGTTTTGGTTCGACAAGGCAGGGGTTGGTCGTATCTGCTGCCAGGTCAACCTGCTATTTTTAGATGAATTTGGCCTTTGGTCACGTGCTGGCTGGTTCTGAAACTGATACTTGTCATTCATATCAGTATACTGATTTGTGTTTTGATCAACTGGTAAATGTGTCTTATTAGGCCCCTCCCATGAGTGTGGTAACCTATTTAGAACCTTGTTATTGATGTTTTTATCAAAAGACATCATGCCTGTGTGAATGTTACTGACTAGAGGGTTGCTAAATGTTTTGATGGGAAAGTGCATTTGGGAGCCTGGACCTTGTGAAATATTTATTGCATGGTGCACACTTCCTTGAATGTGTGTTCTTTGGTTGGCATCTGTTTCTTTAGGATGACAATTCCTCTTACTACCCAAGGTGATGGCTGCATCCCTGCTGTCTGCCTGTGCCATAGTGTCTGTGCTGTCAGACAGGGTAATCTTCCCCTGCTCTGACTGCTGTGAGCTGGAGCCAGAGCTGTCACTACTGGCTGAGTCCTCACTCAGATTCCTAGGACATTGGATGGAGGATGTTACCTCTTGAACAAACTGTGACTGTGGGGGTTGAGGATAAGAACTCCTATCCTCGGGCTGCTGTTCATTACTAAACTGAGTGCTGTTCTGAGCAATGTGTTGCCCTTCCCCAGGCCTAAAGGAAAACGAGTTTTGGGTCACATGAACAGAACCTTGCGTGGAGGTTGTAAAGTCTTGGGATTGGGGGTTCTGTTCACAGACAGAGTCAGAGGTTGATTCTTCCAGAAAATTATATCCATATTGATATGGACCAGGCACAAAGGCCTTATTAGTTTCTGTAAGGGCAGTGGATTTTTGTGATGACACTCCATAGCTAGCACCATTAAAAGTTCTTTCAGGAGACTGCCATACATTAGAGCCACTCAGCTGAAAGTCAGTCAGGATCAGCTGGCTGCCGGGCTGTGTGCTGTTGTTCTCCATTGAGGCAGGCTGCTGCTGCTGTGACAGGGGTGGATGTGGGTGAGATGACGTTCCACTTGAAGAAACCAGTGCCTGTGAGGTATAGCTTGGGGAGGTAAGGTTAGAGGAGGCCTCCTGGAAGCAGCGGCTATAGTTGAGCTCTTCTTGCTGTAGTTCGGCCTCTCTCTCTGGTATACTGGGAACGTGGAATCTGTAGCTGCCCGAAACTGTGCCACGACTGGTCTCCAACTTCTTGGGTGGCGCAACCTTCTGCTGCGGGTAGGCAATACCAATGGTGGGGTTGGAGCGTGGATTTGTAATGCTAAGTCTGTACAGCTGCTGCGGGTTGGCGCGCTCCGTCTTTCCTGACCGCTTCCCTTTTTCTCGGCTGCGGCCCTTTCCACTCGGGGACTGGGGTCTGCCTTTGCCACTCGACCAAGTCCTGTCTGTGGCAAATTTGGATCGGTTCTGCAGTGATCTGAAGTCAATCTTCCCTGTCTGCTGTGGCCGTATGACAGCCTCACGTTGCTGAGGACAGTCCCTTCCCTTTTCTAGTTTTTCAACTTTGGCCCCTTTGCTGCTGCTTCTGGACTCAGTGCCTGTGCTTGAAAAGTCCTCTGAAGACTCCTTTGTGGTTTTGTCACTCTGCTGTTCCAGCGCTGTCCCTTCATCCTGCAGTTTGGACTCAGCGACCAGCTCTTTGACAGCATGCATTCGCTGAGTCTCTCCTGCCATGGTTCTCAATGCGTGCTGTGAAGGCTTGGTCCTCAGAAATGCTATCTGGGAGACAGGGTCATCGTCTTCTGGGTGGTATGAATCAGTAAATGTCCAGTGGCAGGAACTGCAGGGACAGGGCTGCTCGCTGCAGGCTCATCTCTTCCCTTTCATTGTGAACCGCTGATCTGGCACCAGAGCAAAGCAGACCTGGAGGGAAAAGAGAACAGAGAGGATCAGATGTCAAGCTTTTACTGTTTAATAAAAAAATGAAAGTGATTGTATCATATGCTATTTTAAAATCATATCCGGCAATACTATTGAAACATGCAAGTGAAGCATTAAACACCACTCATAAAATAATTATGTATCTTTGAAATATACTAAAAAAACATGAATTATTTACCCATGTATGAGATAAAGTGCAATAATAATATTCCTAATTTCTGCCAGCAGAGAGCACTATTGCAGCATTTCACTGTGGCGCTGTCACTGCACAAAGAACCAGTGTAATCAATGAGGAATTTCAAAACACTGCCAAACTCATACTCGTAAGTCTTGGAGATACAACTAACACTTACAATATTTATTCCTGACAACAAATAAGACATTTAAAACAAGTATATACAGTTTCATCCGAGTGTTGCATTCCCGTTTAATAGCAGTGAATTGATGGCTGTCCAAGTGTCACAGTCAAAATCCTCTATATAAACAATCACACAAAGACACCAGTTTGGTCTTGAAAGGATGAAGCTCACTACAGTACTGATGATGAGAAAAATACAGCACATGGATCCAAAAAGCACTGCCAGTAAATGAATCACAGACTCCTTAAGAGCAGGGACACAACAATGCCACAGTGTTCTATTCTACAGAGGGCTGCACGTTTAGATCATGGAGGAATATCAGGTATTAGTCAGTCAGCCATTAGACAGTGAGAACTGACGGCTGTTGCCTTTCCTCAGACATCCCAGAAACAGCTTCTCATGTCCCAGTTTACTTTGGCCATCCACTGCTTCTGCTTTGTTTGAGTTCAGACTAGCAGAAACTTGGAGTTAGCACCAAAATGTAATTTCTAGGCGTGTTAACCAAACTTCCATCCCACCTCCTTGTCTGTTTACCCTGGATAATACTAAAGTCCCAAATAGTGGTGGTGGCCGCCTGGAGGTTGGACAAGCCATCATTTAGCCAAAGGATTGGGTTGAAGTCTCTGTTCAGGCTAACATCCACACTGCTGAAGTGCCCTTGAGCAAGACACATTCCTTACAGATTTTAGGGTGCTCTCATGTTTTTTTTTAAGAGGAGTGAGTAAAAACTGTACAGTTACATTCCTGTATTGCTGTATGAATGTGGCACATTCAGCAATATTGGGCTTCTCCATCAGTTGGTGACTGACAACCTCGGGTATTGTCAAACACACCCACAGCAGGATGCTTTGCTTCTCTGCACTATACATTTTCGATCCGCAAGATTGATAATTCTGACATCCTGAATTAGTGTACAAAATAAATTATACATAATTTAAATGTCTGAAGAAGCAAATGAATGTATGTATATTTCCTCTAATAAGAAACAGTAAATATGCCCACCAAAATTCAATCCCTACAGTCATTTTGTTGTCCGGCCCTCTCAGGGTCATTTAAGATCAGCAACAGATTTTTCCTGAGTGCCTCTATACCCGTCAAGGGGCTTACACTTCATCAGCTAACTTATGGCAATGCATTGATTTAATTAAAGGAAAGTATTCTACAACCAAATTCAATTTTTCTCTTTTTTTCTGTTTCTAAAGCCCATTGGTTTGGGAGCAAAGTAGCTGCAGAAAAATGTTCTCCTTGTTTGCAAAAAGACTGTCAGATAATCGCCACACCTCTAGTGTGAGCTGAGGCACAAAAGCCAAACAATGCATGCAATGTTTTTAGGTCAGTGTAGTGAATATGACCTGTAGCACCTGTGGAAACTGACAAAGTTATCTTAAAAATATTCAGCAATATTTCTCTACTGGAAGTCGATAGTGAAGGTTCTACGGAAATGTTTTTTTTTTCTGCAACACACCTAAATTCCTTTGGTGCAGATCCGATCGGATCATCTCATTGTTATGGTTATGATAAGATTGTTTGACATTACATTAGTGCTGCTTATTAGGGAGATGATGACAGTATGTACACAAATCCGTTCTTTATGAACCCTGGTAAAATGACTAAACCACCTACAATCATTGTAAAACGTAGTCCCGTTTACATTTCTTGAGGACATGTCTAGTTGCCTTATTAATGGCATACGTCTAAAACCTGCATGGCATGTTGACTGCGTTACAGTGTAAGAGAGAGCTCACAGCTCCAGTGGAGTGGCTATGTTGACGTCCACGGACCAGTAGCCAATGTGTCAAGATACGACCTGACAAATGGAATAGTGAGATATGACCCTCCGCTTTTACCTAGAGGGATCACAATCTGCCATGTGTTTCCTTGTCTCATCCTCTGGCAAACCTCCCAGAGATATTTAGCAGGTTCGGAGCGAGGCTTGAGGCTGAGACCTGGCTGAGCTTAGGCCTGGTTGTGAAAAATCACATCCTCTCTACACCTCCACAGAATCTGAAAGCTGGAGTGTCTGCAGCTCTCTCTGCCACCAGTGGGGAAACTGGTGTGAATGACCCTGCCAGCATCTCCACCAGGATGTGCTTGGTCCAGCCCCGCAGAGTCAACATACTGTATATCATAGACCCAATTGTGTTTGCTCAGACCGGCCGTTGAGGTTTGGGGCTGAAGATGAATGCCTCCAGCAACAAAAAGGGCAGTATGAGGATCACAGGGGCCTTACAGAAGTAGCACCAGAGCCTTAGCTGTCAGCTTACAAATAGTAAAGCGTTATTAATATCCTAACAAATACCTGGTCCACTTCCCCTACAGCCCCGAGCAGCTCAATCACTATTCCCTTGCATCGATGTCCTCACACACAGACTATACACGCATCAATCTGGCAATTTGGTGGCGTCTTTGTTAACACTTATTCAGTTTTATCTTTAAAAGTATAAATTGCTCTTGGACTGGGTATAAAGACAGTGTGGTGGTGACATAATTGCAAGCTTGGCACAAGTTGATATTGAATCCTGTGTGACTGGTCTAAAATTTGTTCCATAAAAGTTTGTGGAGTTTTACAAGTCAATTAAGGCTGTGTGTGTGTGTGTGTGTGTGTGTGTGTGTGTGTGTGTGTGTGTGTGTGTGTGTTTCTCCTGTCAAATCAAGTTTCTCAAGCAGTGGCGCCCCATATGGCTTCACCACAACACCACCCTGATGCTTGAGACTGCTGAGTGTTGAAGAACTGGTGTGTTTGTGGTATAGGTGCATGTGTATTTATGTGTGTGTGTATAACTAGAACAAAAGTTCATTACTTACACAAGTGCATGTCTTGGTTTCTCTCAGAGATGAGGAAGTGGGTAAAAGGTGCCTAAATAAAAAGTAAATTCCGTGAAAGTCTTTTTCCTGTAATTTTGGTGCAGGATGTATGTAGTGTTGGCTTGAGTGAAAATATCGACTCATCACATCAGTGAATTGAGCTCGCGCTATTTTCCAAGAGGCAAAATCCCGCAATAAGCTCCATATCACTCAAAGTCAGTTAACTTAAAAGAATAAAGGCTTCGAGTCTCTTTCTACTGAGCTATTCAACATTTCTGTTGATGTTTGTTCTGTAACAGGAGAGCACCCAAAGGTGGCTAAACCAAATGGTGAAAACAGACCACAGCAACTAAGATAGGCAATCTCAACGGTTCAGCAACACAGCAGTTCTCCGTCCTGAAGACAATGACTCTCACGAGACACAAAGCATTATTAGAGCCAAGAGAGGGGCAGCAGCAGGCCGAGCAATCCACTTCTACAAACAATGGCTCCCTTCATAATAATGTACATCAATAACTGTTATTAGAAGGAATTTCCCAACTTGTTCAGCTTTTCCAGATGCTTGCTCACTGAAATATCACCACACAATAGTCTCGAAGACCACTAAGACAGAGAAAACAGATGATGATGAAGGGTGATGAGATCAGAGGTGGTGGAGAGAAGAGGAGGTTTAGAGTTTAGCAGGGAAGGCCATTGCAGAGTGGTGTAACCATACTGAGGGATGAGCGTCAGGAAGTGAAGGGGGGGGGGGGGGGTTTATTCGGTATGCTGCGTAGCCCAGTAGGCTGTATAATCAGAGAGATGCTGGGGGGAAGGATCAGGTGTCAGAATAAAATCTGTTTGACTGCTCGCCTCACACCTCTCCCGGCATGACTGGTCCAGCGAGGGTATGCGCAGTGAGAACGGCTGGCCCAGGCCCATGCTGGGGCGAGACGCCAAAACCTCGGTCAGCGTGCCTTCCCACTCTTCTGTATTTTTGGAAACATCCATTATGCAAGCAATTTGCCTTTAAGATCTCTGTGCCCATGTCCATTCAAAGGCAGAGTAGGAGGAGAGATATGTCAGAGATGTGCGAAGAGCCCAGCATGCTTTCACAGCCATTCCACCGCAGAATTATTTATACACAAGCTCTGGATGTAGACGTGTGAACAGCAGTGGTCTGTCAGTAGTTTACAAACTTCATTTCTCAATTCATGATTTACAGATAATGAATGAGTCATCTGTCTTCCTCCATACTGGTGACGTTTTGTCAGAAGCCTTCTGAATATTTGAAAGATGCCAGAGAAACCAACGTTGGAGCACTTCAAATGAAACAGTGAGCACAGTACTGAAGGAGGCTTGTTATACTCGTGCCTCCCTACCTCCACAACCCCTAACCCCACCCTTGACTCAATGTGGTTAGCTGCGCAGTGGAGATGATGGAAGACAGTGTGGTGAGTGTGTCTCTGAGTGTCTCAGTATGTGTCTGTGTGCATGCAAGAGAGTGTGTGTGTGTGTGTGTGTGTGTGTGTGTGGGTGTGTGTGTGTGTGGGTGTGGGTGTGTGTGTGTCTGAGGGGGTTCTGGTGTGTAATTACAGAGGCTCCCCTTGCCCCCTCCCAAGTTTTTCCCTTTTCTCAGAAAAGCTTTTTCTTTTATTTATTTTTTTCTAACCACTGGATTCTGGACTCAGTCTGTTTCCATATTGCTAACCGCAGCATTCCACAAACATGATGGAATCTTTTTTTAGAGTGTTTTAAGGTTATTTTTTCCTCTTTTTGACACAATTTCCCTCATTTCTACACGTCAATGGAATATTACGTGTGTGGCTTTGCAAAAAA